AAATCGCTTAGGCGGTTACAGCGCCAAAAAAAGAAGAAGAAGAAGAACTGGCGATGTGCGGTTCTGTATTACGAGCGCCTTACACGATGGACTCAGAGCTGAAATCCATTTAAAGTAACTAGTATCGCCCAGTTGTCGAAATTCGACATTTCTTTTAATACTCTTTTGAATTTTGCTAGTCATCAATATTGACTCCTTTATGCGAATAACGATTTTGAAGTGCACCAAAGTTATAGCGAAATTATAGGAAAATTTTAAACTCAATTTCTTCAGTAGCTTTCGAAATTAGATAGAGAATGGATCCTGGATTTTCATTTATAAAAAATATGCATATATAATTGAATCTGTAGACGTGACTAATGTGTTAAACATATACCAATCCAGACTGTAAATACATTTTTCATTTATATCGGTCTGAGAGCTTCTTGGAAGGTTAAAAACTAAATTGCCACCATCTACATAAACTCCGCTTTCTTTCCTCAGAATCAGTAAAGGTTAAGCAAGTACGTCAAAGGTATACAACAAAAAATAGTATTTCCTCTAATGGCGGTTTCAAACAAAGGTTTGTCAAGATTGGGCCAAGGCCTATTATTTATGCATCACCCGATTCGGCTGCCAAGTTACGCCAAATTTTATGTTACAAATATGTATTCCAAAGATGAAGGAAATATGACCACAAATAGCAATTTTTAGAACAGTTCTCAATCCCTGTGCCACCTATCGAAAGACAAACACACGGATCCTTCTAAAAATTTTTGCACAAAATAAAAATCATTCAATGTGATTTAGAAATATGGTAGGAAATGGGTGCCCAATTGCATGATTTTTTTTTTTTTATATATAAATATAGTATAGGTGTATCAAATTTCATTACCTTCTCATAAGTGATTCAATTTGCATGGGCGATGTCAAGCTCCCTTTTCCACTACCTACCACTTTTGGCCATAAATACGCAATAGATAGCACTAATAGCTGTGCCAAATCCCAGAATCTTAGCATTTTCGGTTCCAGAGATACGCGATAGGAGAAGTTCAGTTTGAATGGCAGGTGCCACGCCCCTTTTTTCAAAACCTGCCACTTTTCGCGATAAGTTCGGTACTGATATCATATGTAGCTGTGTAAAATTTCAGGACGTTGGCGTACGCGGTTCCATCTGGCATTTTGTATCACTATGACTGAAAACTCAGCCAAAGGAAATAAACAAGGTGTATTAAACAAGGTGGTGTTGGGGCGACAGCTGAGTTTTTCGCCG